ATGGGGTAGATTACACTTTGATTTTATTTTTCTGGTTTAAACTAACTAATTAGCTGCATGCAGAGCCTAATTAACTTGTAATTAACTATCTAATTATGGTTATAAGCTTAAACAACAAAATTGAACCAACACAGGCTGCAATAATCAAGCTAAGCTCTCGGCAGCTCCAAAACATGCACATAACCGAACTTAATTTCTTAAAGCTCTCATCGGCTGCTTATCACCCACATGCAAGTTCTTAGATGACTTAAACTTCTTGTTTTTGATTAGTTAAACAATTAATCAAACTCAGATTGTCGCAGGAAGTCAGAAATAAGACTACAATTTCAAGCCAGCTCCTCGGCAGAAATTTTTTAAACCAAAACAGAATTTTTTTTTCTCTGCTTTAACACATCATCCGAATGCACAATTCAACATGCATGGTCTTAATCTTCAAGTTTTCACTCAGCAAAGACGCTTAGGTGTTCAGATTGCCACAGAAAAACACAAATGGAGCTGCATTATCACCTCAAATTCTCGGCAGCAACATTTTATCAAAACAGAAATTTTTCTTGTGGTTTGATTTCAGCATCCGACTGCATAATCCATACATGCAAGCTCTGATGTAGCTTGCTCAACTCACAATCAACTTAATTAGTCCAGAAATTACCTTAGATAGCAGCTAATCTCTCACACGAAAATTTCCAGAAATTTCTTCCTTGCTCTCGGCTTCAAGTGCAGTCGGTGGTTCCTGGCTCCTAAGTTGCGGCTGGGATTGGTTGTAGCTGGTGGATTTGAGTTCGGTTGGTTGGAGTTGGTGGAGATGAAGATGCAGAATGGTGAAGCTTCCTGAAAATCTTCTCCCTGGTTTCACTCCAGCTCACGGCAGAACCAAAAAAAAATTCCTGGCAGCTCACGTTTCCCCCTCCCAAGCTCACGGATGCAGCTCACCAGGTTGTTCTCTCTCTCGGATGCTCTCGGTCTAAGGCAGAGGAAGAGGTGAGGTGCGGTTGTGGAGAGAAATTGCAGTGGTTTCGGTGGAGTTGTGCAGAGAAGGAAATGAGGTTTGGTGAAGGGTGGTGTCTCGGTATCATGAAAGGAAGTGGTTTGCGGTTTGCTTGTGCAGAGAAGAAATTGGAATTGCGGTTTTAGATTGTGATATAGAGAGGATGGTATTGTGGTGCCGCGGTTTAAGGAAAGGATTGCGTATAAGAATTGGTTGCGTACAGAAATGGGTAATAGCTGCGGCGATTAGACTTGTGGTCAGAAGTTTCGTTTGGTTTGCATGGAAATGTAAGGGCGTTTTGGTCTTTTCACTTTGCTCCCTAACTTCAACTTAATTTCTCAATTCCAACTTAATTCTAAAAATTATTCCCAAGCGTGATACAAACGCCTAATTATATCCTAATATACCTAAACCATTTTTATCGAATTTTCACGCCTTAAGCATGTTTAATATATTAGAATCATATTTATCTAAAATTCATTGGTTTTTATCTTAACGCGGAAATTCCTATTAACATTTAACATTAGCAACTAATTGAAATTAATCATAGGAATTAAATAATTTATTTTGAGATCGTAAGTCTATTGACTCAAGTATCATTACTTTAGCATAAAGGAATTAAGTATTCTATCCTTTGTATGTTAAGGCGACAAATTAATCTAACCCTAAAGATATTAATTTAATCAAATAAAACCAAGAAATTTCATAACTTAGGAAAATTATATTATTTTTTCGTAAACCTATTATTACGTACTTAATTGCGAACAATTAAAAGTAATACTAAAAATTATCAAAGAATAAAAGAAATGCAAATGAAATATGCACTAGTTTATATATCCATTTTTCAGGGTTCTCACATCCTCCCCTCCTTACAAGAATTTTGTCCTCAAAATTCACACTTTCTAAGGAAATAAATCAGGGTACTTTTTCTGCATTTCTTCTTCTAATTCCCAAGTTGCTTCCTCAAGTCCATGATTTCTCCATAAAATCTTCACCAGAGGAATTTTCTTATTTCTCAGTTCCTTTACTTCTCTTTCCAAAATCTTGACTGGTCCTTCTTCATACGTTAACGTCTCATCCACTTCAATTCCTTCCAGGGGCAGCACATGACTTGGGTCGGGATAATATTTCTTAAGCATGGAAACGTGAAATACATCGTGAACCTTAGCCATGCTTGCGGGTAATTTCAGCTGATATGCTACATTCCCAACTCGCTTCAAAATTTCGAAGGTCCGATATACCTTGGCTTTAGCTTCTTACCTTTCTTAGGCACTACTCCGCCCTTCAAGGGTTTAATTTTAGGAAGACTTTGTCTCCTACTTCGAATTCCAAATCTTTCCTCCTTGTGTCGGCGTAGCTCTTTTGTCTACTCTGAGCGGTTTGAAGCCTTTCCCTAATTAGTTTCACTTTCTCCTGGGCCTCTTCTATCCAAGGTATCGCTGTTGGATCTACAATCTTCTTTTCTCCTATTTCATCCCAATGAATCGGAGATCGACACCTTCTCCCATACAAAGCTTCATAAGGTGCCATTTGAATCGAGGCTTGATAACTGTTGTTATATGCAAATTCTACTAGGGTCATATAATTACTCCATTTACCTCCAAAATCCAATATACACGACCTCAGCAGATCCTCCAAAGTTTGAATTGTTCTTTCCGACTGCCCGTCGGTTTGGGGATGGTACGCAGTACTAAATTTCAACTTGGTCCCCAAAGACTCCTGAAATTTCTGCCAAAAAGTGAGACAAACCTTGGGTCTCGGTCAGACACAATGCTTACAGGAATACCATGTAATCTTAGGATCTCTTCTGTGTACAACTTGACCAGTTTTTCCAAAGAAAAGTTCATGCTTACGGGTAGGAAATGTGCAGACTTAGTGAGTCGATCAACTATTACCCAAATTGCATCAAATCCTTTTTGGCTTCTAGGCAGTCCCGTTACAAAATCCATTGTGATATGTTCCCATTTCCATTCAGGGATTTCTAACGGTTGCAATAAACCAGAGGGCTTCTGATGCTCAGCTTTTACTTGTTGACAGATCAAGCACCTCTGAACAAACTCTGCCACTTCCTTTTTCAAACCTTCCCACCAATACAATCCCTTCACATCATGATACATCTTGGTCATACCTGGATGTATGGTATACTTCGATCGATGTGATTCTTCCAAAATTTCTTTTCTTATCTCTTCATTTGCCGGAATCACAATTCGATCTCGGAACCTCAATACACCTTCAGACCCTAATTTAAAATCTAGGGTTTCCCCTTTTTGCATTTTCTCCAAATTCTTTTGAATCATAGGGTCCGTTTTCTGGGCCTCCTTAATACGCTCTAGTAATGGCGATTTTAACGATAAGTTCCCAAGTAATATCTTCAATTTCTCCAAGCGAGGGTTCCAACCACTTATTTCCTCCAGCATGTCCCACTCTTTAATCATTAACCCTGCTACTTGGGCCTTTCTACTTAGAGCGTCAGCTACCACATTAGCTTTTCTGGGTGGTAGTTAATTGAACAGTCATAATCTTCCAGAAATTCTACCCATCGCCTTTGTCTCAAATTTAATTCCTTCTGGGAGAACAAATACTTAAGGCTCTTATGGTCCGTATAAACCTCAAAAGTCACGCCATACAAGTAGTGTCTCCATTTCTTTAAGGCGAAAATCACTGCTGCTAACTCTAGGTCATGAGTTGGGTAGTTTTGTTCGTGAGGCTTCAGTCTCCTGGAAGCGTAGGCAATCACTTTACCATTTTGCATTAAAACACATCCTAGACCTTCTCCCGAAGCATCGGAGTACACGGCATAACCTTCACCTCCATCAGGTAACACCAAAACAGGAGCGGATGTTAAACGCTTCTTTAATTCCTGAAAACTTGACTCGCACTTCGGAGTCCAAGTGAACCTATTCCCTTTCTTGGTTAGCTCAGTCATGGGTCCAGCAATCTTCGAAAAATCCTTGATAAATCGCCTATAGTACCCTGCTAATCCCAAGAAACTTCTAACTTCAGTTGGGCTTTCTGGCTGTTCCAATTCATAACGGCCTCAACTTTTGCCGGATCCACGGCAATTCCCTCCTTGGAAACTTTATGCCCAGAAAAGATATTTCATCCAGCCAAAACTCACACTTGCTGAATTTGGCATACAGCTTCTGCTCCCTTAATATTTGCAAGACTATCTCCAAGTGCTTAACATGTTCCTCTCGAGTCTTTGAGTATATCAAGATATCATCGATGAAAACCACTACAAACTGATCCAGATACTTCTTAAAGACTCTCTGCATTAAATCCATGAATGCCGCTGGTGCATTAGTTAAACCAAAAGGCATGACTGCGAACTCAAAATGTCCATATCTCGTACTAAAAGCAGTCTTGGGTATATCCTCCTTCTTAATCTTTAACTGATAATACCCTTGCCTCAAATCCAGCTTAGAGAAAACTACTGACCCTTGCAATTGGTCGAACAAACTATCTATCAACGGTAGAGGGTATTTATTCTTAATTGTAACCTCATTTAACCCTCGGTAATCGATACATAACCTCAAGCTTCCATCCTTTTTCTTAACAAATAGAACGGGTGCTCCCCACGGTGAATCACTCTCCTTGACAAAACCTTTCTCCAAGAGGTCTTGCAACTGAATTTTCAACTCCTTCAGCTCAGCAGGAGCCATCCGGTACGGAGTTTTAGAAATCGGAGCCGTTCCAGGCACCAAGTCAATCTTAAATTCCACTTCTCTTTCCGGCGGTAGAGTCTTAAGCTCTTCCGGAAAAACATCCGGAAATTCTTGTACCACTGGTACATCTTCCAACTTCACTTGATCACTGGGAGCATTAATCATGAAAGCTAAGAAACCTTGAGCTCCTTTTGACAACATTTTCCTTGCCCGTATCCCTGAGATCATAGCAGATGATGCTAACCTACCCTTAACATCTAACCTCAGAGTTGCTTCTCCAGGTATACAGAATTCTACCACTTTTGCTCGGCAATCCAGCTTAGCATGATATTGGCCTAGGAAATCCATTCCTATGATACATCGTACCCTTTTATGTCCAGACTGATTAGATCCACTAGCATTTTACGCTCTCCAATCCAGAATTCACAATTCTTAAAGGCTAAGCTAGCGATTATCCTCTTATCACCCATTGGTGTCCTAACTTCAAGATCGAAGGGTAATTTAACAGGTCTCACGTCTATTCCAGACATAAATGATGGATTTACGAATGAATGAGTTGCACCAGGGTCAATTAACACTTTAGCTAATCGATGAAAAATGGGGAGAGTACCTTCCACGACTTCCGAGGAATCAGGTACAGGTTGGTCATCTATAGCATACACCCTGGCAGGAACTGTTGGCCGGCTCCCTCCAGAAGTGTTTGGTCTAGCGTTTGGATTACCCCTTCCTGCATTTTTGGACATCCAGCAATTTGGTGCTCGCTACTTCCGCATTTCAAGCACCTCCCTTGCTTCTTCCAGCAGCCATCCATAGCATGACCAGGTTTCTTACAATATGCACAATTCACTTGGGGAACTATTGCTCGGCCTCCTTGCGAGGTATTCCTAGGTTGTCCCCTTCCAATCGGTCCCACTCTGGTTCCATTATTTCGTCCCCCTGCATTCCTGGCCCCATTTCCTCTTGCTTGGGCGCCTCGTGGTGCTCCAGGACTATTCACTCCAATGGTTCCTCGGCCCACTTTGGCCGGTGGAGCATTTCCATACGTCGGCTCCCGACTACTGCTAGGAGCAAATCTTTTCTTGGCCTGAAAAGATTTCACTTGAGCCCTTGCTACTTCAACTCTCTGGGCTTTCTCGACGGCATCTGCAAAGGTATCTATCCTCACGGCAGCTAACCCTTCCTGTATTTCTACATTCAGACCCTGCACAAACCTTCTGACTCGCCTTTGCTCCGTGGTTACCAATTCAGGAGCAAAACGGGATAGCTTTGTGAACTGGACTTCATATTCGGCGACACTCATCGCCCCTTGCTTACATTTTATGAAGTCGTCCTCCCTCTTTTCTTGGATGAGAGGTGGAAGAAATTTGGCATTGAACTCCCTTGTGAAGTTTGCCCAAGTCCTTGGAGTATGATTCCTGTCCCAGTTAGTCCTAATCAGATTCCACCAGGAGCGAGCAGCTCCCTCAAACTGGAATGCAGCAAAAGTCACCTGCCGCTCTTCCGCGTAGTTTAAAGCTGCGAAGATGTCGGAGATTCTCTCCCACCATCCCTCAGCTATCTCAGGTTCGGGTCTCCGTAGAACTTAGGAGGTCCAAACTTCAGAAACCTCTCCAGTGCCCGATCCTCGGAATCGACTGGGCCTCCTTGGCGGTGCACTGGCCAGAGGCTTGATGTTCAGTCAAGCGCTCCAAGACATCAGTGATACGGTTAATTGCGGTGGCCACTCGATCTCCGGCCACTCCCTCTCTCTTGCCTTGGTCTTGATTGACCTCGGGTTCCCTATCACCACCCGCTTCCGGGTGTTGTCTAGTGGGTCTCCCACGGCTCCTTCCTACCATTTGGCGATCCATGACCTAATTATGCCTACACCAAAAGTGCAAATAAGCATCAATAAGCTTAACAACCATAAACAATAAACCCTCAGATCAAGCATTCCTATAATACCCAGGCTAATTCAAACCTAGGCTCTGATACCACCTGTGACAGCCCCTCCTTCCCCTAAGGCGAACCAAAGGGGTTAGCGGACTGCCGCCTCTCGCTAGGACTAACGAATCAGTTACGTCGATCTAATACGTTCCGGAACATACCATTGCGCGCAAACAAGTCAAAATCACATAATAAAAAAAATGAAAATTTGAAGCCGGAGATGAATAGTGCATGACACGTCAGAATCCGGCCGGAATCTGGCCGGATATCCGGCCGAATTCCTGGCCGGATACTGGCCAGAGAGCAGTTCAATTTTTTTCAAAAACGTCCTCCAATCCGGCCGGCAATCCGGCCAGTTTCTGGCCGGATTCCTGGCCGGATTCGGTCCTATTCATTCCCGTCAAAATTTTTTCTTTTTCGTTTGAAATGCGTATCAATCCGAAATCCAGCCAAACATCGACCAAACATATATATACATTGAAATCCAACATTTACAGTCAAATAGCCATGCCAAAGCTATTTATCATGAAGATACATTTTAGGTTTGCCAATCCAAAAGAAAGTGAACCCAATACACATTAGGGTTTCAATCAAGGAGCTATTCAAAAAATACATATACAAGAGCTCAATTGGCAACCATCTAACACAATCTTTTCCAAAAGTGATCATTTCCTGTAAGGAAAACAAATGGAACGGAGTGAGCTAAAGCTCAGTGAGTTACTACCACAATAGCAACTAAGATCACATAAGCATAATCGTTTACATCAAATATACCAACAAGAAGTAAAACCAATCGGTAAAAGGATACGGAAGGCTCTCAAGAGCCTATTTCCACGCTTACATTCTTGATCCACACTCATTGACCCTCCGTCAATGTTTAAGAGTAACCGACCGTAGACATCGCTTTACTTCCATACCTTCCACCCAACATACCCCAACCGGGCCCGCACTCCATTTCAGTAGTTTTGGTAATACTCGAGTATACCGGAACCAAGAGTCTCATTACTACCGGGTTCCCCAGTACAGTCCCCGTGGCAAGTCAATTATCATGACCAAGCCCTCGCCGGCTCGATCCAATTGACTACCTAACGGAGTTGAGCTCAGTGATACAGTAAGGTCGTTGACATTCGTCCAAACAACACCAAATCAGTTTCCATGAAATGGAATACAGTAACTCATATATCAAGTTCAGTAAGACAGTGAAACAGTAGACAAACAGTGATACTATCAAAAGGGTGAGGGCGGTCAAGTACACCCTCACCTTAATCAATTACAATATCCAAATAAGCCTTCAAGGCAACACAACCACATATAGCAAAGCCACATTAGAACATTTAAGTGAGTAGTATACTCACCAATCACGTAAGTGATACTTCATGCACCGCCGTTAAACGAACGTCGTGCACCAACGTCACTTCCTAGAACATGCAAACAAATGCAATGAGACTCGATAACGAGTCATATAGCCATACCAATTATAACCCTAATAGGGTTTCATATGCATAAATAGGCATCATAGGTAACCAGAAATTAAGAAATGGCATTAGCTTAGGCCTTAACAAAAAAAAACAGTTTTCGTCATACTTTTGCGTAATGGCATAAAATGCGCTACGCTTATCGGATGAGGGTGTAATACCCACCATCTCGAAGCTAAAAGACAGGGCTACAACAATGTAGAAGGCCAATCAGTCCAAATCATAGCACAACTAGGTCAAAAATACAGATTACCAAACTAGAACCGCAATTGCAGGTTCCCAAATCGCACTACGCTGTAATTAGTCTATTTCAGTCTACACAAGTCCAAATGCATTGATTCCAAAGGTATATGATAGCTAAGACATCCAGATATATTTCATCAGAAGACACCAACAACAAATCCAAACCAGTTCCAGTCAAAATGGCCAATTACAAGTGCAGTTTTCGCATTCTGACCAAACCACAGAACAGCAACAGTAAAATCGACATATCTCACTCTACACTAATCCAAATGACCTGAAATTTTGCAGGCACTTCAAACTCATCAATACCTACAACTTTCATGTTTTGAGCAAAGTCCAATTCGGCCTCTAACCCTATGATCCAAAACCGGACAGAATTAAGGGTTATCAAACCCTAACTTTTCACAACTCAATCCAAACCCACAATTAGTTGCTATTATCACCAATTCACACCCACATGAGTCATTACCCCTCATTAACAACCATCATAGATGACCACAACATCACATTCTTATTAAACCAGAAAATTCCTCAAAAAAATAAAAACTTCACCAAATCACTTCAAATCAAGAAATAAATCACATAATCCATCACTTTAGCCACTACTAATCATAACTTAAGCATCATTAGGTGTAGGAGGAAGTTTAAGCATCACTTACCAAGTAAACAAGAGAGATAGAGATGTTGGACACCTTAGCTCTTCAAAAAAACTTCACTAACCCACTCACTAGCACCAACTGGAATGATTTTATGGAGTAGAATCTAGTTCAAGCAATTGTTTTTGGAAGATTGAGCCAAATGGAAGCTAAAATGATGAAGAATCTCTTTCTTCTTTGCTCAAGGGTGCCGGCCATCAAGGAGAAGAAATGGTGATTTTTGGTAAATTTTTTTTTAGATATTTAACCCAATTAGTCAAAAAGTCAAAAAGGGTGAATAGTTGTCTGCAAAGACAACTAATGGAAGAGTGACACTTGTCACTTCCATAAATGCATTCCTATCCTTTTGTTTCCTCTCACATCAATCACTTCACATCCTCTACTTATCTCTTAACACCCGATAAATTTTACACAGTATCCGAAACTTAACCTTATTGGCCGAATTTTTCCGAACTTTTCGCACTAGTGGGTCCCACGTCCGTTATATATTCTTAATTTTCTAAAAACTCTCCAATATTAGAAAAAATTATCTAAAAACTATAATCGCTCATAAAATCTACCAAGAAAATATTTCTAAGCCAGAAAATGCAGAAAACATGCAATTAAGGGAACTAAAACCCTAGGAAAATGATTAGGGTTTTTACGGGTTCTCACACTCTCTCCCCCTTAAAAGAATTTCGTCCTCGAAATTTCTCACCTTAATTCCCGAAAAGGTTTGGGTACTTTTTCTGCATTTCCTCTTCCACTTCCCAAGTAGCTTCCTCAACTCCGTGGTTTCTCCACAGCACCTTTACTAATGGAATCTTCTTGTTGCGAAGCTCTTTGACCTTCCGATCAAGTACCTGGACCGGTTTCTCTTCATAGGCCAGTGATTCATCTACTTCGATATCCTCCGGTTGCAATACATGGGATGGGTCAGGATGGTACTTCTTTAGCATCGAGACGTGAAACACATCGTGGATTCGAGAGAGACTGGACGGTAGTTCCAATCGATACGCGACCGCTCCAACCCTCTGAAGAATCTTGTAGGGTCCGACGTACCGCGGTTGAAGCTTCTTTCCTTTGCCCGCTGTGATACTTCGTAAAGGTGTGATTTGAGAAACACATGATCTCCAACTTCAAACTCCAAGTCTTTTCTTCGATTATCCGCGTAGCTCTTTTGTCGACTTTGAGCTGTTTGGATTCGTTGCCGTATCAATTTGACCTTCTCTTGAGCCTCTTCCATCCATGGAATAGTTGCCGGGTCCAGCGCTTTCTTTTCGCCAACTTCGTCCCAGTAAATCGGTGACCGGCACTTGCGTCCGTAGAGAGCTTCGTACGGAGCCATTTGAATCGACGAATGGAAGCTGTTGTTGTACGCAAACTCTACCAAGGTCATGTGTTGACCCCAGTTGCCACCAAAATCCAGAATGCACGTTCGTAACATGTCCTCGAGAGTTTGAATTGTCCGTTCTGACTGGCCATCCGTCTAGGATGATAGGTCTGCTCAAATTGAGTTTAGTCCCCAGGGTTTCTTGAAACTTCTGCCAAAACCGAGATACAAACCGTGGGTCCTGGTCGGAGACGATGCTCACAGGAACACCGTGTAGTCTTACTATCTCGTCCATGTACAGTCGGGCCAACTTATCCATTGAATACTTCATGTTCACCGGCAAGAAATGGGCCGATTTGGTTAATCGATCAACGATTACCCAAACGGCATCATGTCCTCTTTGCGTCCTCGGTAAACCTGAAACGAAGTCCATTGTGATGTTTTCCCACTTCCATTCGGGTATCTCCAAGGGTTGTAACAGACCCGATGGTTTTGATGCTCTGCTTTCACTGTTGGCAAATGAGACATTTCTGCACATACTGAGCGATTTCCTTCTTCATATTGTCCCACCAATAGGTTCCTTTCAGGTCTTGATACATTTTGCTGCTACCCGGATGGATTGTATACTTGGACCGATGAGTTCCTCCAGAATCTCTGCTTTCAACGACTCATCCTTGGTACCACTATT